ATGGAGTCAAAGGTTTGCAAGAGTTCTGAGAGCTTAGCAAAGCTTCACTCAGTTTATTTTCACGAAGAATATGAAGATTGAAGGAAACCAGATGTTCCTATAAAGAAGGGGGAGAGCAGCAGAGTTTGAGGGGGAAAAAACTCCTACATTTTGTACAGCAATGCTATAAAGAGATAAGTAATTTTGGATGGAGCTAATAATTTCAGAGTCTGGATGTTTCAGAAGAGGAAAAAAACGGGCTTGTTCTCGTTACTTTCCTCTTCCTCCTTTAATTCATAGCATGCACCGAGCCTATTGCAGAAAAAGCAAGTGGAGGGAAATGGAGAAATAATGACACGCAAACCAACAGACAAAACTATCACATTCAGGGTATTTTTGTCTCTATCCTCAAGTCATTTCATTTCTGTCAAACTCCTTCACTCCAACTCATTTTCCAGGCTGCATCCCAATTACAAATGGTCCCCACAACAGGTCATGGCCTGGTTTCCAGATGAAACATTACCCACACTTCATATTAAAAGCAAAGCCAACAGACAATTCAGAGATTGTCCTGGGATGCTCGGAAAATGAAGATCTTTCTACCACAGCTTCAGTGCCAGCTGCAGTCACTATCTGTCTTACCATCTGCATCTGTGCACAGGTACCCAGACGATATGAAGCCCCTCTGTATTATCTGGTCATAGGATATAATTACAGACTTCATCCTTGTTGGCTGCCGACGTCTTCCCTAATCAAGGCATCCTGACTCATGATTCACTAGAGTTACATCAAACCTGAAATTCTTACCAGGACCTCAGTCTACTATCCTGCAATGTGCTGCATGTTTATAGACAACCAAAGCAGAAGAAAAGGATATGCCAAAATGGGAGATTTAGGAACTAAAACTTTTGGTAATCCTCACCAAAATCCTCCAAAATGAATCGACAGTCTACAACGGGAGATTCACAATAATAAAGCATATAATCTCTGATCCAAAGTCAGAGCGCTTTGGGGATACAATGAAATTCTCTACAATAAGAAATCATGGATTAATGCCCACAGGTTCGCTGTGATGAGCTTCATTATCTCAGGGCTGCAAACATATTCGACCTGCCTACTGTCAGCCATGTTCATTTCCACACAAAACATGTGCTCCCCTGAGGAGATGACCAACGTGATAGGGGCATGGGGGGAATATCCTATTGCCCAACTCTGGAATAGAGTCGCCAAGCCAGACACACCACTTCTTCCCTTCACACCCCTGACCTGGAAAAGTTCAGACAAGTGTCGGGCATCACACAAACCACGTATGAGGTGCTGTATGCCCACAGGGTAACTGGCCAGGTAACTGGCCCTGGGCATGAACGAATGAGAGCAGGTAAGCTGCAGCATGGTGAACACGGGAGGGCACTCAGAACAGCCAACTGCCAGAGAAGAAGAGAACCCTCTGGATAGCTCTATTAGATGAGCAAAAAAGAAAAGGAGGAATCATATAGAATGTAACATCACATTTTAAATCACATTAGCATTTTTAAAAAGAGTATGGTAAGTGCCATAAGAAAATAAAATTATCTCCCTATGCAGATGTAGCTTCCAAGAAAAATGAAACACATTCAGAGTAGGCTGTTGACTTGCCACCATCTTCCATGCCAACTCTGGGCTGTCTTGGGTATTTCTTCCCATAAGAACTAGACCTCCCCTATTAATAACTGGATAAGGTTACCCTTCCCCTCCAAGTCAGGGTGAGGGTGTCCTAGAAGCATAACTTAAACCATTCCTTTTAGTTAACCAATCTTTTCAGACAAACATGATGAAAGACCAGTAATACGCAGCATGAAGGGACCACTAACGCAGCATATAGAAATGTACATCAACCTCCTCGTCCTACGGTGACTTTCTGCAGCCTATGATAAAGTGGAAGTCTCAAAAGGTGTTGTAATATGAACAAAATCCCCAAGCACGCTAGATTTGCATGTGTCAATAAGAAACCAGGTCTTGGCATGTCTTCTGAACAACAGAACAACCTTCTTTTCTTAAATAAAAAAATAAAAAAAAAAATCTGGCCTTTACAAAGAGCAAAGAAGTACTTCCTAAACTTTCATGAGCATATTAATCACACGGAGATCTTATTACAACGCAGATTCTGATTCAGCAGGATTGAAGTGGGGCCCAGGATTCTGAATTTTTAGCAAGCTCCCAGGTGAGGTGGATGCAGCCCCTTGCTCTCTTTGAGAGGCAGGAATCTAGAAGATTTCACCTTGAACTAAGACCCCTCCCAACTTCAGGCAGGCTGAAATTTCTGAAGGACGTCATTAATAATAACAACTAGTGTTTATTGGGTAATTAGGTAATGTTTTAGGTGTGTGATATATATTAACTCATTTAATTCTCCCATTATTATCATCCTCATTTAACAGATAAGACAACTGAGTCACAGAGTAAAGAAGTAACTTTTCAAGGTCACGGAGCTGGTGAAAAAACTAGGATTTGAACCCAGGCAGCCTAGCTCTATGGACAACCACTACTCAGACTGACTCCCAGTAAGACAAAGCAAGATATTTTGGGAAGTTGGATGTTTAGAAAGGAAAGGAAGTTGAGACTAGGAATTTAGGTGCGTTTCCCACGGTAACCCAATGTTTCCACGTGGTCACCACCAGAGGGAATATATTAGTCAATTACATTGTACAGAAGAAAAAAAAGCAAACATGGTGCATTTTACATTTTCCAACAGGGTTCCACTAAACACCTTAGCAGATGTTCTCTGAACACTGTTACCACAGCCTATATGCTGTAGAACCACTGTGAAATTTCCAACTATGAAGACAGAGGAGACCATTGGGACAGGGCTCAGGGCCAAGGCACAGTGCATGATGCTAAAATCAACTCCCTCGAGAGTCTCTGATTTGGGAGGAGTAAGACTGACAGCCGCACCTTGCGCGCTCGCAATGCCTGGTAGAAAGGCGGCGTCTTTGCAGCGGAAGAGAAAACGTGAAAAGAGGTGACCGCGTGCTGTAGGAAACGTGCCAGGTTTCTCAGCCCGGAAGTACCCGAGGTGCTGAACCTGGGTAACTGGGGACCCAGGGCCGCTGGGAGTTTCGGAGGCGCTGTCCGAGGTGCCAGCGATGGCTGTTGGCACACTTTGCCACCCGCGGGGCAGTTGGGCGGCTTTGTCTACCGCAAAGAAAGGGAGGGCGCCTGTCTGAATAAACACGCCCCTAAACAGGGGCACAGCAAAGCAGCACCTGGTGGATGGGAAGGTTTAGAGAACTGCAGAAGGCGAGCGAGAAAGGAGGGCCCAGGCTGGGAAATCCGTAGACTGCCTAGAGGAATATTTGCGGCGGCAGCACACAACACAATGACATCTGTCGGCTTTGTGCAGCGCACCGGCAGGCGTGACTGCGGGGACCCGACCCCTCCCCCGCCCGAAACCCCCGCCCTAGCTAGATACGTTCAACTCAGGCAATGGATGGCCCGGGATCACTCTGTGGGAGTGGAACAGGGGAGGGGAGTGCAGGGAGGAGGAGAGAGGGAGAAGCCCAGCCAGGGGTGGCTGTGGGAGGATGCGAACAGCAGCAGGAAGAATATCTGCTTAGAGATGCTCCTTCGTTTCTAATGAGGGGTGCTGCCTAGAAGCACCACGCGCCAGCCAATCATGGAGCTGCTGAGGCAGGAAACTAGGGAAGAAGGAGGGGAAGGCCAGAGGCTGGGGTGGGGGGAGTAGGGAGATGCCCAAGCCCTGGGGGAAAAGAGCTGGGTGCCTGGCTAACACTAGGGACTTAAGGCAGCTCCAGCTGCCTCACTGCTGCACACCTGGAGAGTGGGGGTGGGAAAGAGGGAGAATAGGGGAGACAAGGAGGGGTCTCCTTTGCAGGTACATCCCTCCCAAATCTCCCTCCCAAAGTCCCATGTCTCCAACCCACCCCCATATTTAACACCAGACCACTAGCTTGCCTCCTACTAATCACCTTCACCACCCCCCCACCCCCAATTCCTAATGGCCTTGCCAGGCATCCAATCCTCAGTGAAGAACAAGGCAGCGAGCTGCCTAATCAGCAGCCTGCATTTGGTGCACTCGATTAAACCTGCAGAGCAGCTCCTTCCATGCCTGTTCACCCTGACACCACCACCATCAGAGATGGCCCCCACCAGTGCTTTTGGGAGAGCAGTTCCTTTGGAGCTAAGGAGAGAGAGACTGCGTGCACACCTCTGGCCTGGGCAGATAAATGCAGGCCCAGCAGTTCCACCTGGATCCTGGGTACTGAGAGAGCAACCAGCTGGGTCAAGCACTAGGAAGCAAGAGTACCCAACTCAGGACCAAGGAAAGGACGGACCTGATGAGCTGCTCTTCCTTGGCTGAGAAGAGAACTCCAAGTTTGAGCTGTTTAAGCCGTGGCTACAGAGATCACCTCCCCTGACAGACACTCATTCATGCCACTTTCAGTGGAACTTAAACTTAAGTCCCCAGAGTTAGCTGAGTCCCCAGCCAAAAGCCTGTTTTATTTATTCATTTGTCTATCTGTATACAGGATTTTGGCCCAGTGCTCTGGGAGCTTCCGAACTGATAAATCCTCTCATGGAGCCTTGACTTCCCTACAGGAAGACAGTGCAGTATCTCCTGGCTGGTGGGGATAGAAGCAGAGTGGCTAGCTTAAAGGGAGGAAAATGAGACTTGATTATGAAAGGAAGCATTGGGGCAGCCCAATCTTTGTGGAGTGCGGCATGTGAAGGGAGTAGGGGTGGGGAGGGGGCTGGGAATCAGACAAAGCCCAGCCCAGAAAGGGACGCACCCAGGGACACTAGAGATTTCCACACAGAAAAAATAAAAAAGCAAAAGCCTTACCTTGAAAAAAACACTAGTGCCCAAACCGGTCTCCAAGGCACCAAGCTTGCCCCTTAGATGCACCGCTTCAGCAAAGGGGCAAATTGGCACCAGGAAGGGGGTGGGGGATACATTCCATGCTAGGTCCCCCGCTTCACCCGAAGAAGGGGGAGAGGGAGTTATGGTGGGCAAGAAAGGATATGGCCAATCGATGAGCTTCTTGGCATATTTCCTGACAATGTTTTCTTCTCCGAAGATGAACAGGGATCTGTTGACGGTGAAACAGTTCTGCCGGACGGGAATGGGGTTGTACAAAGCCATAGTCCGCGCCCTCTGCGCTTTCGTCTGCTTGTAGGCGGCTGCCTGCCCCGAGGCCGGCACGGGGGTTCCTTGCCGGTTCCTGCTCTGGTCCGAGTCTCCATCGCCCGACCCCGGCCTGGCGACCACCGCCTCCCCGAAGCGAGCCATCCTGAAGTTTAAACAGACAGAAGACACACAAAGGTGATCGCAGCCGAACACCCGCACACAGCAACAAGCAGAAAGAAACAGGGAGACTCAGAGCCGCATCCAGACAGGCACGGGGACCACCGCCTCTGGGGAGCTCCGCGAGCCCTTCGGAGAGGCAGCAGCAGCAGCCCGCCGCTGTGAACTGTTGAATCTAAATGCAACCTCTGCGAAGCTCCATTCCTCAAGAAGGAAAAAAACGGGGGGTAGGGCTTGGGGGTGCTCAGTTTCTGGAGGAAAATATTTTTTTCAAAATGCCAGTGTGTGGTGGTGTTCAGGGATCACAGAGGAGAGGGGTGGAGTAGGCTGCTCTTCAAACATAGCTCCTCTTCTGGCAGACGCACCACCTAGTTCTGGGAGAGAGGCCGGCACCGGCCCGCTAGGTAACAGTTTCGTGATTTATTGGTTGGGGGAAGGGGTAGGAGGGACGGGAAAATGAAAACAAAAGAACTTTTTAAAAAAAAAAATAAACAAACACGAGGACGGGGTTACGGTGACATGCTTTATAACGCCAACCCCCGCGAGTCCATCTAAGAAATTCCACCGCGAAGACTTGGGTCCTTAAATCTACCAGCAGAGAGGCATCCAAAGGTTGGAGAAAGAGGAAGGGAGGAGGGAAGAGCGATACTGAGGTTCCTGCGTAAACCGCAATGCCCAAAATCTCAAAATAAGTCGATCCAAGCGGAGAGAGACAAATGACTTCAAAGCTCCTGCGCTTGGGCTAGAAGTTGAGCAGCATCCAGAGAGCAGCGAAGCCCGAGTGCCAGCATCCGCCCGGAGCGCTCGCCACCGCCGCCTCCCCGGATCAGCATGCAACAGCGATCCGCGGCTGCGCCGCCGAGAGGGCGGGAGCGCGAGCGGGCGGGCGGCGAGCACCGGCGGGCGAGGAACAGGTTGCAGCCGAGCCTCGCGGCCTGGCAGCGCGCTTGTCCACAGCCCGAACTTCCTCACTAACGGCTCGGTCTTCCTCTTCCACCCAGGCAGCGCCCTCGGCGGAGCACTGGCGGGGATGCGGAAGGAGAGGGGGGAGACGAGGCAGGGGAGGGCGAGCGGAGCGCAGAGGCGCAGCGAGGCGCGCGAGAGCGCCCGGGAGGAGCGGGGGAGGAGCTGGCGAGGCGGGAGAGGCGGGGACGCAGCCGGAAGGCTGAGGTTCCTGGGAGGTGAGGCTGGCTTGCCTTCTTGATTTATGTGGCCAAAGGGTAGCGCCCCCGCTGCAAAGGTCCAGTGAAGACTCCCCTTTCCCCCAAGTAAAGCCGAGAGGAGAGGCAGGCGCAGCCGGCGACGCGGCGGAGTCTCCGCAAGAGAGCGAGGGCCTGGCGTGGGGCGCACACGCACGCGCGCCTTGGGTCCCCGCAGAAAGGTGTCCCCAGGGCTGTGCCCTGTTCGGTGCCAGGCGCGGTGCCACGGGCCCACCGCCGCCCTAGCGAGGAGTCCGGGCCTTTGCGCGCCACGTTCCACGGCCGCATCGCAGCTCCTCCGCACCTCCGCACCTCCCAGGCTCCACAAACACTGCCAGGGATTTCCAAGAAGACAGCACCCTCTCCCCATCTCCCCACTTAGCATCTGGGAAGCTCCGTGGGGGAGGCTGGGACCTCTGGGGGTTCCACACTCTGCTGTTGGCGCTGGCTCCTGGCAGGACCTTCTGCCCTCACGGGGCGGCCTCCTGGTTCCCCGCTGGCTGAGCCCTGCTCCACCTCTCCTAGAAGGGCCCTCCATGGTGAGCTATGGGCTTAAAATAACCTTCTCGAAATCCGAACAATCAGAAGGATCCCCCCATCTTTTACTCCCAAATAAGCTCCACGGACTTTCTCAAACCCACCCCATTAATGTAGAAAAAAACAGAATTGGTATCTGAGCTGCAGAGGTGGGAAAGGTGGACTCCAAGCCCCAGGAAAATGCTCCTGTGCTTAGCAGCCAAGCCCTTCCCCACAGGTGACTGGTGGTTTGATCTGAGGACAGAGACCAGCTGTCCCCTCCCATCCCCAAACTAGGTGGGGCACACCGTCCTCTGCGTTTTCCTGTCTTGGCTCAACACATAGTCCTGTCCAAATCCTCCCAACCCGAGCAGTGGAAGGGAAGAAGGAAAGGAGGGGCTAAGGAAGGAAACAAAGACACTGACCAGAGCCCCGAGGCTGGAAACCATAGGTGAGTATGGCTTCACGCCTGTGGTGAGATTAACTGTTGAGAAGTGCATGGCACGTGTGTTCTGCGGGTATGTGTCTATGTGTGGGCAAGGCCATGTGAGCACTAATGTGTGTCTATTGTGTGAGAATGTATGTAAGTGTGTGTGTGTGTGTGTGTGAAGGAAAATTCTCTGAGTACTGGAAATCCAAAGGAATGGCCTAACATGTCCAGCCTGCTGCCCTTGGAGAAGGCGTTTGACCTTCTGATGCAGGGGAGCCCACTGAAATTACTATTCAAGGTGAGTCAGCTCTAATTGTTTTGATTTCACATCATTGCCTGACTCTGTCCTTTCTCGTGCTTTAATCAGAGGGTCCTCTTCTGTCTAAACACCTAGTCAGAAGTGGAATGGAGGGACGTTGGTGCTGTGAACCATGAGGTCCCATCAGCCAGTCAGTCACTTAGAACTAGTCCCAAGTGGCTATCTCAATATTCCTGTAAACTACATAGGGGTAGAAAAAGGGCTTTTAGAAATGATTAAGTGTATGTCACTGCCATAACCCACAGCACAAAATTCATTCAGATCATTCAGTTGAGAAGTATTTTTGAGTACCCTCCACGTGCCAGGCACTGTTGTAGGCACTGAGGATACAATAATGAACAAGATGGGTGAGGACATAAATCATGTACCTTCTTACACTAGATTACACTAGATTGCATAACCTCGCAGGCCAGAAAGCTTCACGAACTTCACTTTCATGCTGTCCTGTCACCCGTTTGCTTTGTGGTCCTGCCTCAGCAGGCTAGGAGGTGGCATACCTTCTTGTTAACACCCAGAATAAGCAGGGCTCACTAGCCTTTTACCTCCCAGGTGTAGTTTTTGGAACATCAGAGACCCCTGACTTGTCTCTTCAGTGTTATCAGATGGCAGCAGAGATCCTGTACTCCATGTCCTGTGTTCTCTGTGGCTGCTGTAATTCTCTAGAGAACTAGAATGCTCAAGACGGGATAGTACATGTGCAAATGACGTGTACATGATGACACACTGGAGTTGCTGCCTTCTTGCCTTCCAAAAAAACAGGGATCATAAATGCATAGGTTGGGAATAATGTGGAATAACTTAGGAACTTTCAGCACCTAGGTAGGTGAGTTAAAAGGGATAATTCTTGGAGGGTGCAGTCAAAAAGGAAAGGGGCAAACTTAAAGGCGTAATGGCTTTGGGAAGAGATGTGGCGTCAGGGCAGGAGTGCTAGCAGGAAAACACACTCTCATCTTCCACCCCCCACCTGGGGCTGTCGTAGCTCTGGAGAGCTTTGAAATCTATGAATTTCTATACTGGTTTCATGCTCTCTAATCCCCCATTCTACCAGCCCCCAAGGCAGCTACAGTTGTTGGTTTTATTTTATTTTTTAATAGAGATGGAGGGGTGGGTCTCACTATGTTACCCTGGCTGGTCTGGAACTCCTAGACTCAAGCGATTCACCTGCCTCAGCCTTTCAAAATGCTGGGTGAGCAATCGCGCCTGGCCAGTGGCTACAGTTTTTATGGTGAATAATATATGTGCTTAATAGCTCTCAGTTTACATAAACTCCACAGCTGACCCTGACTCCAAACTTCTGAGCTTAGCCTGGCAACACAGTATCACAACCCTTATTTGACAGACAAAGCAGCAGGGTTTCAGCAGTGCTCAGCCGTTTGCCCATGTTTGGTAAGAGGCAGAGTGTGGACTTCTAACACAACTGACTTCCAGTCTGTAGCTCTTTCTAAAACCCATGCTGCCCTTCAGGGCAGCAATAGTGTAATTCTAAATTGTTCGTCAAGAGAAGAAACTATGCAATGACACTAAGCCTATGGAAATGCTATGCTTGCCATCCTCAAATTGAATTTGATCAGAGGCCAAGTGCTCCTGGCAGCATGCCCTCAAGATCCAGGAGGATCCTCAGAAAAAGTTCATGATCAGAATATTGCAGTCATGCTCTTCATATGGGAATTTGGTGGGCATTATCCTTCTAGTGCCCGAAGTTCCACTGTCCTATTAAAGACCCACAAATGGAAATGTGGAAAATCAGCAGTTAGTCATAACTCTGATTGGAAACCAGTCTGAAGACCATCTGAAAATCCCTTTCCAGCCTCAGAGTGACAGTAACTGTATTTTCCTGTTGTCAGAGCACCATCTACTGGTCACTTGTGAGATGTCACTGTGAGCCCAGGTGCTTGGCAGCCCAGCACCCTATGCGCTATGCCTCAGAGTCCAGACATTCCTAGGCTCTGACCTCTCGTTAACAGCCCTCTACTCCTCTGTGGGACTTCGTTCAGGTCCAAGCCCTAAATTTCACCACAGTGCAGCCAGCCCATCTCACAGTACTCAGAAAGTGCAGCCCCACACACTGGGCACGAGGTCAGCACCACACACACCCTCCCAAGTTAAGATGGGCTTACCAAATGCCCCACATGTTTTTCTGCAAGCAGTGACCTGCCAAGTGGAAACCCAACAGGAGCTAAGGAAGCAAGTGGAACACTTTCCTAGTTTATCAAGCCCATGAAGACTACTACATTTCAGAGCATTTCTCCCGCAGCCCTTCTACTGCAGTGTATCATTGAGCTACAGTCAGGAGTGAAGGAGACTGGTAGGCAGTCCTTCCAGCCTCTTCTGGAAAAGGCAGAAAAGGTGTCCACACTGCTGCAGACCAGACAGGCTGTGGGAGTTTGTACTAAGACAGATCGACACGAGTGGCAAAGCTGGGGACGCAGTTTGCCTGTTACCCTCATTCTGAAGCTCTTCCCAAATCTGTCAGGCCTTGGACCATCTTCATAAGAGATTTCAACCCATCACTGAGAAGTCTGCGGATCTGGGCCTCATCCAGAAGGCCTGTGCCCCTCCCATCAGGCCTGCTCCTTCATCTTCCCCCACTCTGCCAGTTACACTCAGATAGCTTATGCTTAAGTTATCAGAGCCCCTTTTGTTCTATTTTTCCTTCGTTGAGCTTTTCCAAGAAATAGACTCTTATGCAAAGCAGCGCTCTAGGGAACATAATGCAGAGAGGATTTGGGAGTGGGTTCTTAAGAAAAAAGTTGGCAGGAGACCATGTGCAAATGCATAGTGGAGCAGAGGAGCATTATGGCAATGCAGACATCTTGGGAGTCTGGTGGCTTTCACAATACCTCACAGCCCTTACTTGGGTGAAAACATAACTTCACATCCTTATGTAATGTCCGTCCCTAGAATCAGCATCTCTCAAACCTAAGCCTGAGAAGCCCCACATGCCAGCGTGCTATCAGCTAAACACAGGTCAGCAAAGTTGGCCTTAAAATATTTTAAAAGCCATTCATGTATGACAACCCATCGCTTCCTGGGCACCAACTGTAGTGTTATCTCATTGCATCTTTGCAGCAGGACTGTGAGGCACATTCTGTTATCTGACACCCAGAGGGTCAGGAACTTATCCAAGTGCACATAGCTAGGAAATAGCAGAGCTGGATCTCCTAATACTAAGGACAGGATTCTTTGCAATGTGTGGCCATTGTTAACATACTGCATGTCAAAATAATATTTTCCTTGCTTCAGAGTCCAGTCATAGGCAGGATCTTAGGCTTTAGAGAGGTAAGGCATGACCTTGAACCAGAGAGTCCCCCAGAGGGTTTAATTGCAAACCATTCTGCCCCAGTGGGCATACATACCATTCTGCCCTACAGGGCTGTTATGAAAATTAAGTTAATATGCATAAAGCTCTTAGAACAGCACCTGGCACACAGTAAGTGCTACATAAGTGCTTGTTATGTACATTTCAGCTTCAGTAGCTGTGACCACGGTAACATATGAAAACACTGCGTGTCTACAGGCTTTCTGTTTTTGAAAGCAGACTTCAGAAGTGCAGCCAGGGATGAACACACTCTAATGCGTGCAGGGTGGATAGAGGAGCAAAGACATGTCAGTACCTGAGATCAGGTCAGAAAGAGGAAGAAAGGAAAAAAAAAGTAGTAAAGACCAGTCTCTGGGGACCCAAAGGCCATGATACCTGAGAGAGCTGTGTGTTTGTTTACTTATTCATGAATTCCTAAACCCATTTAACAAATGCTCATTAATCCCCTTTGATGTTCCACACATTGTTCTCAGGGGTTCTGAGTCTCAGAGATAAATTAGACACAGTCACAGCCTCTAAGAACTTACAGTTCAAAAGAGGAGAAGGGAAAATGTACCCACGAAGGGCTCAAATACAAGGCAGGATGTGGAGTGCCCCACAGGAGAGCACTGGGAAGAACAGAGCGGGGAGCCATCCCCTCCCACTGGAGGCAGCCAGAAAAGGGAAGGATCCAAACGAGATCTCTGAAAGAGTTAGTGTTGGCGGCATGGAGCAGCAGCCTGGAGCATGAGTGTTTAGGATGTGGGGGGTACACAAGATGTGTGGGGTTGATTACTCAATTGGCGTTTTTATTTTCTTTCGATGTATCTAGGATCACGAAGATTATAGCATTACCACTTCAGTCCTTTATTTTCCATAAGATGAGGTCACTGTTCAGCCCAGAGAAAACCCAAAAATATGCTTACCCTAAGAGATATTAACCTTTATTGGGAAAGTTGATTTGGAGGCTCAGAGTTTAGCCCTAGACAGCAAAGGATCCCACGCCCACCACCATCTGCCTCTCCTGCCAACCTCAGGGCCCAACCTTGCTGCTCAGCCAAAGCAAAGTGCAGCAGGAGGACTCAGAGTGCTCCAGCTCCCACTGATGGGGGTGAGCAGAGCGTGAGAGCAACCGGCAGGAGCACATCCATCCATCCACCCCCACGACCTGTTGATTCAGAAAACACAACACAGCCCACACCTTGCAAAGCCTGCTCAGCCCGGCTGGGGTCATGCTGATTCATTCATTCAGCAGACATGCAATTAGCACCTTCCACGTGTCAGGCATCCTGTCAGGGGCTAGCTCCAAGGAGGCCGTGCCTAGGAGAAGGTGCCCAGGTTGGATTCGTGTCTTCCTTCTCTTGATCCACTCCCTACATTTCTCTCTTGAAGATAATGCCGCAG